GTGTCCTAATATACTTGAATAAAAACATCACAACTCCCAAGATAGGGACTTTAACTAAAAAAAAAAAAAAAAAAAAATAATAAAGTTTATACATACCAATACTGCAATATTGTTCGAAAAACACTAGCACACCCTATTATAAGCAAACATCAGCCAGAAAGGCTGAGAATGAATTTTATTTGAATTTTATTTGGTAGTATTGTGAGTACATGAAAATATAGGAATAATAGATAGAGATTAATAGCACTGAAACAATGAACATCCCGAGAGTTAGCAACAGATATTGCGCTGAGAGTCACTGTAACAGAGCAGGTAGGAATTAGATAGGCAAAGTTAGATAGATTATCAGCCGGTGGTTTCCCGCCTGCCGCAGCAAGCCGGCTGTTAAATGACGGAATCAGGTGACTCCATACGCGGAGGGATGGGTGGGGCAGAAATTTGATAAAGGTTAAATTGGCTACGAATTAGAGTTCGCATTTTACTGCGACCTAGAGCCTGTATTTATATGGTGACGTGTGCTATGGCATGACGTGTGCTATGGCATGACGTTACTGATCATTTCGTTGATGGGTCGGTTCCTGTGCCCCGTATCCTCCCCTGATTCTGGCACGTGGCCCGATTGGGTCGTGGTAGTCATGTGAAAATCGATAATAGCGTTTTGCTTAGTTTTTCGAATAGTTGACTCTGTGTCAACTTATAAAATATAGCGATAGGCATTCAATCAACATGTACGGAGCTTGACCTAAGGTTTATGCATGTGAGGCGGGGCATAAACATTACAGGCTTGTACGTATAATAAAAATTTTTAGCCACGTTATATTTTTTCTGTTAATACGTATACGTATAATAATAATGAAAAATCCGAATAACATGTATACAAATAAAAATTACTTTGAAAAGTGGCATATCTTTAGAGGTTGGAAGCATGGATGTAAGGTTTGTGACGAATGCAACCATCATTCGCATCTATATTGCAAAACATGTAAAAAAGTAGCAAATGGAATAATATAGGCAATGCGAATGTTAAAAATTCTCGAATAATTAAAAACAACGATACATAAGAATACTTTTGCGTTGCAGGAAAATTATCACGTGATGACGCAGTATCGGCAACAAAAATTTTACCAGCACGTGACATACAAAATTCTTTAAATTCATTTATATTAGGGTTAGGACCTATGCTAGTGTTAGGGTTTGAGGAGTTTTAATAGTAAAATCGCTCAAGGAAAACTTTTAGTTAATGCGCAGGAGGTGGTTTCCTATATAGATTTAGTGTTATAAGCGAATTTTGACAATTTGTTTTGGGTTTTCCTGATCGCGTAACGTTACACCAAATTGAGATTCGTTATTGGCTTATTTTTGTAGATCATCACGTGCCGGTAAAAATTTTGTTGGCGATACTAGTTGTTAATTGAGACTTTAACATAATGTCGCTCGATACCGGTTCATCAAATTCCAGTTTTAGCAGAAATGCCAGTTTTAGCAGTGTTAGTTCAACAAGAATAAGTACAAAGTCCGTCGATACTGTGTAAGTAAATATGTGCAACTGTTACTCCTTACTTTTTTGCTAATTTTCCGAAGATATTCTTAGGAGTAGTGATGTTGAACGAATGTCAGAGTGCAACTTTTATCGAAACCTGTGGTGGGATAAGGGAGAATTTAGCGACAAAGCAAAGTGGGAAGAAGTAGCGTAAGTTTACTTGTTTGGTGTTGATATTTTTTGAGCCAGTTGCTGATATAAATTGTTTTATTAAGTCTGCCGTATGTGCTTGCCACGGGCGTTACCATAGAAGAATATGAACAACGTACAGAAAAGTTTTCCATTCATGGATGTTGGGAATGGCGGGAGGAAAAAGTCATAATCTATGAATTTCCTTCTGCACCACATGAAGTTTGCATCGGCGCAATCGTTAAGGAAATAATTAAACGTTGCAGTAATATTGATGGAACTAATGCAGAGATTATAAGTTTTGGTGCTACTAGTAAATATTAATATTATGATATATTATTTTTTTTTGAGACATCGCATTAATTTGATTGCTTGAAGGAACACGCGACATAAACCGTGGAAAAGAAGCTGACTCATCATTTCGCCCGGATAAACCACTTGTAACTCCACCAAATGGGAGCGATAGAAATGTACTTTCTGTACTTTTTATTGGTTTTGAACTCTTTAAAACTAGCAATTCAATATATATTTTTTTTATTTAGGATTTTCCTTGGCCAAACTTAGTTGTAGAAGTAGCTTATTCCGAAACATTAGATCACGTCGAAGAAGCATTGTGCTACTGGTTAAGTCCTGGTCGCGCCCATGATTGTATTATTGTAAAAATAGATCCGGTTCCCCAAGGTGAAGTGCCTGTCCGTATGAGAGTAAGTTATATTTATGCTGTGTAGCAGTCATATTATTTGTGTTATTTGTATAATATTCGGAATATTTTAATTCATTGCAGGCTTGGCACTACTGTGTATCAGATAGAAGAACTAGAAGTAATATTCCAGCTAGAACCATGGTAATGTTAAATTACAGTGATTTGCTTTCCAGTATTAAAAATCTCTAATGCACAGTATATATTATTAGTTTGAATTTGGAACACAGAATGGCACTGGAGCACCATTGAATATCTTGCAAGGTCAATGCATTATAAATATTTCACTAGATTGTCTCTATTTTGATGCGGAGCCTACTATTCAAAAACCCCGAGATCTTCTACCTGATCCTATTACAATTGACTTCTTTTTTGTTCGACATGCATTTAAGGTTGCATTTAAAGTTGCTTAGGAGTATTATACAATATTGTAGGCTCAGTTTACTATGCTGGTTAACTTTGGGTTTATCTTTTAACATGTACACAGTGTATGTTGTATACGGATATTTATATCAATAAAAACGAAGCGTATTTTTACTAAACCGAAAAGCTTTGAACTTATACTCTGAATTCATTATTTTTGGTCCTATAGATTGCAGTTCCACTATAGCATTTATTTGATTCTGAAACATTTTTTATGAACAAAATCGCACAAAAAATTGATTGTATATAATTTTCAATAAAAATTTTTTTTACTACTTTTTCTTTCTTTTCTATCAATAAAGCTGGCCCGGTGGCCTATTTCGCATACATAATCACATTTACTTTTGCATGTGTATTTCGTGAATTTATTTTATTGTATTATTATCGATGTACATTACTCGCATATGATCGAGAATTTTTTTATGCAGTCATGTGTTTTGGATTTATTTATTTTTTGTGTTTACGTAGCATGTATCTCTGATTATGTTTCGATGAAAATATACATCTCCATGATAAAAGAATTGAATATATCCATATTTTATATTAAAAATGGCAAACATACAATCTAAAGATGACTTGTTGAGAGAATTGAATTATAAGCTTGTAGTTGAGATTGCCAAACTTAGGAAGAAAAAACTGAAATTCCTGAACTTAGAGAGAAGCTACTAAGATTTGCTGAGGTTGAGGCTGAGAATGTGAGGTTGAAGCAAATTATTGAAGAGAATGCAAGACGTGATGCTGAGAATGCTGAACTCAAGTCTAGAGTCAGAGAGCTTGAGACTAGACTTGCATTATTAGAACAGGGTTCAGCAGTGAATGGGATGACATTGTCATTTGGTCAAACACAAAACGATGAAGAAAAAAGCAACCTTATTGCTAAATTAGATGATACTGCATCTTACAAAATGAATTCTAATAATACCCCTGAACAGATAGAAAATATATCTAATAATATTTCTAATTCTGATGTATATCAAGAGTCAAATATTCAATACTCTGAATCACTTATTCATACAGAGTCTAGATCTTCTAAAGATAAAGAGATCGAATTTTTGGATCAGGTACATAAAGAAACTGTTAGTATTGAAATAAGAGAAAGAAATCGGAAAAAAAAGCTATTACAAACTAACAATACTTCTATTTCTCAAGCTGAAAATTTATCTTCAGTTAATGCATCCAAGTTACCAGGTACCTAGAAATATATTTATCAAACCATGATCAGAATTCAAAATCAACTATACTTAATAACTCTAATAATGAAGTTATTATCAAGTTGGATAAAAATCTAATTACAGAACAGGAATTAAAACAACAACTGTCAACATCTATACCTATTTCCATAATCTCAGATCAGATTCAAGATCAAGACTTATCTTCAGTTACAACAGAAAGTATAGTTTATGCATTTTACAAAGCAATTTAATCAAGACAAGAAGGGATACTTTACTGGTATTATTTTATCAAAAAATATGACAAAAAAATCAATGAGATTGTTATTAGTAGAGTTAAAGGAAAAACTGCAACATTTATGGTATATCAAAAAATAAAACTGCTTTTACCTGATATTACTGATGTTAATCTGCATTAAAAAATCCTTAGAGCTAGAAAATTATATAAATTATTTAACACATTAGTAATAGAAAAAATTAAACTAGTTTCTTATAATGCAGATGCTATCTCAAGTCTCAGCTACCAACAAATTCAAAATATTATAGATTATATAACAGAAAACCATGAAGATTTTCTTCACAATCAGAGTCATGTGACTTCAAAAATTCATCTGACTAATACATATATTCCTCTGAAAGCACCTCAATCTAAGCCAACTTATGATCGATCCTATTTTCATAGCAAAACATTGGATCAATATCCTAATTTATATCAAGAAGGTAGTGATGGAAAACAATAATTATTATGAAATTAGTGATGAATCTTTATGCCTGCTATGTAAGTTAGATCATAATGATGAAAATGATATAAAAGACAAATATGAAATTGGATCTTATAATCTTAAATGTGAACAATGTGGAATTAAAATTAAGGTAACAGCATAAACTTGATACTAAAACAATTTTTCTTAGGCCTTTTAGTATGTCTCTTTAGGCATATTTATTTTTGTCTGCTATTGTTAATTTAAAGAGATGTACAATTATATAAAACGGCAATATAAATACACAAACAAATACTAATAAAATGTTAACTCCTGAATATTTGAAATGGGAAGCTAAATTAACAGAATTACCAAGCCTTTTGACAGATAATATTCATTCTAGGTTATATAAATGGTATAAAAATAAAACTGAATTCGATTTCTAGATAAACTCTGAAACTTTTGAGTCTTCACAAATCGAAAAAGATGCTGAAAAAAAGACATTATTTGTATCACAGATAAATGTTCTACCTATATTATTCAAACTTTGACCATCAATTTCTATTCTACCTAAAGACCTCGAAGAAAGGCAACAACATGTTATTGAAATGGTATTAGAATGATTTCCTTATTTAACTTTAAAACATAGTTTTAAATATAGTAATTATTTTGATTTTAATAGATCAGTACTCTGCCCTTTATGTGATAAAAACCATAAAAAAGAAAATATAAGAAATCATATAAAGGGTACTTAGGATAGTGATGAATATGTCAATACAAAAACTTATCGTCTCTATTGTTATATAAATAAATATTAGAATTTAATCACAATAGTATCTATAAAAGCATAGAGCTGTCTTCTTATTCTTTGAACTCGAAGCCAGATTATAGATATTGTGTTAATTTATTTTCTGAAATATATAAACCAACCATGAAAGGCAAAGCCTTATTACTATGTAATATGAACAAAGTAAAATAAATTGTTGGGAAAACTAGATATAACTTTATTATCACCACTAATTAATAATTGCAAATCGCATTACAAGAATCACATAAAAAAATAAAAAATTGAAAGCGAACCCTCTTCTTTATTTAATAAAAAATTGTCAGAATGACAATGTAAAAATAAAATATATATATATCGCTATTACAGATGCGAATACAAATAAAAATTATTTTTTTGGTGAGGAGAGTATATAAATATGAACACCATCAGAGAGACTATTAGGAAAGTCTTCAGAAATTCTACACATTGGTTTGATAACATGACCACCCAGGAATAGAGAAAGACAGATTTTAGTAGAAAGAACAGAATTGAAAAAGAGTGCCAGGCAGTTTTTTATCATATCTTTGACCAATTCATACTTTTTATCCTTAGAAATCTCAATTGTAAAAATTTCATCTTCGGAGTATGTTTTATTATCATTATTAAGGAGAACATAGTTAAGGTTAATAGTTGCCATTTTGGGAGGACTTTGCAAAAAATAAAAACCCATAGTTAATAGAAAGTAACAAAATAAAATCTCTTGTATAAACAATATATGATAACTGGATCTTAAAAGTAAATTGTGATATGTAAAATTTTTTCAAAGATGACACAGCAAAATATATATATAAGAGCAACATTATTGCTACCTAACTAATCTTATAGGTGGGAACTTGCTTATTTTATACTGTTCATTTACTAGATCTAAAAAACAGACTAACAAAAAAAAATATATGATTAGTAATTATGTTACCCTAATACAATCTAGATTCTGCTACATAAAGCAACTCTGCTCGGTCATAAGTTCCAAACACTAAGCCTATTTTGTTATTTTTTTGGTAAAATTAACCCTCTTTAGATTTGATAATCACTTAAGATGAGTTTAGATCTAATGATCTTAGGAGATGGCAGAGATTCCAAATCCCTATGACATATGAATTTGGATAAAACTATTATAGTCTTATCATGAGATCGTTTATTAGGTAAGGATGCTATTTATATTAGCACTACTTATTAACTTAATAAAAAATCAACTGTGAGAAATTAAGGTAACACCGCATAAAATTTAATGCAGACCATTAATTATTAAAGCCAGTCAAGATTTTATCACATATTCGAACTGATAAACCTGAATATCAAGTGATCATTTGACCTAGGCCAAGCCACTGTTGAAGTGCTGTTGGCTTTTTCTTAATAAATCTATATAAAATTACTAAGCCACTGTTGAAGTAACAAATCAGTAAAATTTAAATTATCGAATTTTGGCATAATCTTATTTGACACATATGTTAAAATAAAGCCAGATATATGTTTACAGGTATGATATTTCTTTGTACATATTCATAGCCCTTATTCTAAATTTGTATACTGTATACTGGCAAATATTTATTGAATTTTATAGATGCATGTTGATCAAACATCTAATACATATGCATATCGATATGCTTTATTTAAAATTATTGCTAATATCGATATATACACAACAAGAGTATAGATATTTATAGCTTATCAGGTAATCTGCTTCTTAAAAACAAACATGAGACTAACAATTATTGTTATAAGCAAATACGTACAATATCGATATGGGATTAATTATTATGTATAAGATAATACAGTAGTATCCTCTCATATAAATCCTTTTTGTAATAAAATTTTTGATTTTTTTTTACCGATAATACACTTTCCTTCACCTTTTCATACTAGGTTGTTTTTGTGTTGATAAGATGATTTTTATAGCTACTTAACACGAGTTTGCTTTAGTGAGTTGTGTGATCGAACATGCGCACAATCTTCTTGCTTTAACAGAGCAGATGGCTCAGTGCTTTGGTAATGGTAGTTCATTTGTTTTGTAAAAAATATGCAATCTAGCTGTCTTTTAATAATATAGTCTTTTTCAGTCAAGCAAAAAATTTCATTTCTACTACTAAAGTGATAGGGCTAGTCATTCTACCCAAACTTTTTTTTTTAGTTATGGTGTTTCTACTTAGTTTGGGTTTGGAATTTGGAATTTATACATAGTTTTGACCTAAAACCCAAACCCAAATAAACATCCCAAATTAATAAATAGTATCAAACTTAAAAACTAATTAAATTTATTATATTAATTATGAATATTACTTAAATTTTATGAATTACAATAAATAAATAAATAAATATATACGTGCATATATATATATATACCGTATAGTAATTTATAACTTTTTTTTTCAGTATAATTAATCATCTAACTAAATTATATTATAATTATATAAGAATTATATAATGTTTGAAGTGCGATTAGTAAAGTATTAATTACTCAAGTTAGCTATATAATAAACATCTAACTAAATTGGTATTGTCACATTAAAAATAAATAGTTAAGGAGATCTTTAAATTAGTGAAAAAGAAATATATCATAGATGTATTAGTATAAAAATAAAAAAGAATAAAATAAAAATAAAAATTGTAATATGTTTGATATTTATTTTTGGGTTGAAAAAGTTTAAAATGATCATAATGATGTGTGCACATGATGCACATAATGTGTGTTGAATGATTAGTCAAGAAAGCTCAATATGCAATAATCGGTAATACAAAATAATTTACCAAAATAAGATTAATAGTATATAAGAAATGATATAATTAATATAGGAGTCAAATCGTATAATTGACTTATGATGTAATAATATAAGTTAAATATGACTATATAGTAAAGCCAAATTAATAAAGTTCAATAGCTTTTTCTTCGAATAAATAATACTTATCCATAATTTGAAATATGAAATATGTCTCATCTGAATAAGATCTAATTAGTGACCATGGTTACTAATATAACCATAAAAGTACATAATATTTGAAGTACAGTTAGATAGAAATTTATGGGTACTAACTACTTAAGTTAGCAGTATAATGAATCAATTAGCTTTTTTTTTTTGGTGCAATTAAATATCTAACCAAATTAGTATTGTGATTGTTAAAAATTACATAATTGAAGCATAAATGATAAGGGTTTATAAGCAAGTTAGCAGTGTAATAAATTAATTTTAACTAAATTAGCATCATGATTGTTAAGAATTACATAATAGAGGTGTGAATAATAAGATTTTATAAGCACTGAACACTCAAGTTAGCAGTGTAATAAATTAATTTATAACTAAATTAGTATCTTGATTGTTAAAATTCACTGCATGAATCAGTATGCTTATAGAATTATTTCAATTAGAAACTTCATACCAATACCATTCAATCTATATAGTTGTTAAAAATACTAAGTGCATTTGTTATACATCGCACTTCCAAACTAACAATTATAACTTAATTTTCTCTAGATCGATTAAGTGCATATGAATTTCAATCGTACATACATAAAAATTAGACTTTTTCTAACTGATTGATTTTTTGTTTTGAAAGTTAAATGTCATATATGGTAAATAATATATATATCATTAGTTTAAAATTTTTATGAGAAAAAAAAATCTAATTTCATGAACTTAACCTAAAAATAATTTCAATTTAGCATTATAGACACTTGTACATATAATAATTAAAGAATTTCGATAATTTCTTATACATTCATATGATCAAATTAATATTAACTGATTTCGTGATAATTTTAGCTCTATTATTTACTGTTATTGCTATAATTAATTTCTCAAGAAAATTCTTACACTTTTATAATTATTTATACAAATGGTGTGAGTATTAATTAGATGTATAAGTTAGATCGAAAAAGCAAGTTCTTGTAAATTATTTGAAATTTAGTAGCTTGTACAAACATATAAATACTATGTTCTTAGGATTAGATTTAATACTTAATAGCTACAATGAATATCAAGTTGGTAGTTATTATGAAAGAAGCAAATATACAAGATGATAAACTCTTTAGCCTTCAATCTTTAGAAATTTTGAATTTTTATATTTTGACAAAATGGAAAAGCAAGGCAAAAAAAAGAAGATAGACCAAAAATGCTGATTTGGAATGATTATAGTGAAGGTGAAGAAGATGGTCATGGACATTATGGAGCCAATTGTCATTATTGTGATAAAGGAAGGTGGCAGCGTAACAAGCTTTCAGTTATGGAAGCTCATTTGATACTTCATTGCAAGGAACATGTACCAGAGGATATTAGAAAAAAATGGTTAATTGAAGTTGCTAAAAGAGGTGAAAAAGCGAATAATGATAAAGATAATGATGTTCCAATTGAAAAAAAAGTCAAAACTGTCAATCAATTAATTACTTCACACTATAGACCTGTTAATATGTTATCTTCTCAACAATCTGCAGATATTACAAAAGCATTGCTTAAAGCTTTTGTATATTGCAGAATTTCTTTTGCAATTATTAACAATCCTTATTTTCAGGATTTTTTAAATCTTCTGCAACTTGGTTATGTACCACCATATAATGATACTCTTTCAGAACCAGTACTTGATGGAGAAATCACACAAATTGTTATAAAAATGAAATCTGAATTACAAAAGACTGATAATTTAACTTTAAGTATATATAGTTTAATTAATTTTTAATTTTTATAATTATATTTATAATTGATTCTAATTAATTTGTTTTATAGTAATTGACAGTTGGACTTCTCCAAAAGAGGATTCACTTTACAATTATATTATTACAACTCCAAGCCGTTATGAATATATTTATGCTATAACTGATTATTTAGGAGAATACCAAACAGAAGATTTTATTGCAACTAAAATTTCAGATATTATTGAAGAAATTGGTTCTCATTGGTTTGCAGCAATCGTAACTAATAATGGCTCTAATATACATGCTGCATGACAAATTATTCATCAAACTTATTCTCACATATTAAGCATCTATTGCATCACTCATGCACTAAATTTAATTGCAGCTGATCTTGTGAAGACTGAATCAATAAAGAAAATTTTAAAACAAGCAAATACTCTAGTCTTATTTTTTCAAAAATCTCATTTAGCAAGTTGGGTTCTGCAAGATACAATTGCATTAATGAATATAAAAGAAGGATCATTAGAAACATATTGTGAAATGCACTGGGGGTCTATTTACAATACAACAAACTCTATTGTTCATATTAGACCTGCTATTGAGAAGGTTTGTAAATTATATAACTTAATATACTAAGGGCAATATTATATATTAATGTTTTTTTTTTTTTTAGATCCTTGAAGAAAAACCAGATATATTTTCTAATCAAGAAGTGTTTAAGATTGCAAATGATATACATGATAATTTTTATACTTCTTGCAAAAGAATCGTTTCGGTCTTTGAACCAATTAAGTGAGTAATTAATTTACTTGAAAGTAATACTGCAAATTTGGTGGATTGTTTCTTAGGAATTGTCCAAATTGCTGCTATGCTTAAAAAAATACCTACTAACAATAATTTTCATATCTTGGCTATTTTAGCATTCAATTTTTACTATTAGCAATTTGATATTTCTCTGTATCTTCTAGCTTATTTTCTCCATCCTAAATATCAAAGCCGTGGTTTTAAAACCAGAAATTTTCATAATATTTGTAATTTGGCAGTTAACTATTATAAAGATTTATTTCATAAAGAAGAAGAGTGCAATGAATTAGTAGATCAATTAATTAGATATAAAGCAGAAGTTGAATTTTGGAATCTTGAATCTTCTTCTAACTTAATTCCTTCTTTATGGTGAGGCATTGTTAAGGATGAATATTCTCATTTACAAGAACTAGCTTAAATTATGTTCTCTATTGTACCATCTCAGGCCAATTGCAAATGAAACTTTTCTATCTTAAAATGGTTTAGTGAAGGATAACGTACACAGTTTCAAGTTTCATGATTAGAAAGTATAGCGCAAATTCACTCTTTTTATATATCAAATATTAAAAAAGAGTTAAAATTTTATAAAGATAATTTTGTAAAAACTGAGTTGCATAATAGTGCATTAAGTAAAATAGTTATTTCAGAAATTGATTATTCTAATTCAATTAAGAAAAATGAAGAGGAAGTAGAAATCATAAGCTTTGCTGAAAGTGATATTACAATGGCACTTCAAAGTTTAGTTAATCTATCAGACTAAATATTTGAAATGAATAATAATCCTTCTTTTATTAATGAAAAAATGAATATAGTAGATCTTTAGTCAGTTTAGATAAATATATTAGCTACGATATTTTTATAGGAAATTATTATTTTATTATTTTGTTTTATTTTATTGTTATTTATATTTATAGTATTATACTTGATAAAATTATATATATTATCACTGTTTTTTATTTATCTAGGTATTAATATTGTCTAATTCTGATACAAAAAAAATTTTTTTGTGAAGTTTTGTGAGTTCTATGAGTTCAAGATTATAATCATCTATATTTATTATAATTTTACTAAATTCTAAATACTTCTCTTTTAATATCATTCTAGTTTGACTAAATATATTTGCTTTAGTCTCTAGCTTCAGAATTTACAAATTTATACTAATTTTGTTCATGTAGTGAAAAATATGGATGTTATTCTTCATTTTGAATGTCATGATGGCAGATCATAGTAGTGATTTCTTCTTTTGATCCACAAATTTCATAATATTGATAACGTAATCGGTATAGTATGCTTTTAAAATACCATATAAGCATAAAATACTGTAACATTAATAAAAAAAGCTTAGAAGACAAAGCTGCGAATAATAAAAATGTTGTTAAAAAAAGTGTATATTAAATGTGTTCTTAAAGTAATCAGGATTCAAAAAAAACTTTTGTATGTATTATGAATTGATCATTATTTAGATAAATCGAACGATTTTACTTAATTATGATTATTAAACATTATTTAATTAGGAAGATTTAAATATTGGGTTTATTATAAGTTTAGATTTTATATAATACATAATATTCTTGATTAGATGGGCATATACATGATACCAATTAAAGGTTGAATTGAATATATTTACTTTGTATTACTTGGAAAGTTTTAATTTCAATAGCGATAGTGAGAAGTTTATGTATATAATTAGCAATTTGAATAACTCTATGCTGTGCAGATACCAATATTAAGTATATTTATTTAATATATATGGATAATATATTATTTATATTTGGGATAAGCCCAAATCTAATATGTATTTACATGCCAAAATTTGGGACTACTAGCTGTAATATAAGTTATATATCAAAATATTTGACATTATAGCAAATTAAAGGTATTTTGCGAAGCCTAGTAAATACATTTGGGATTCTATCTAGTTCTAAACTAATGGGTTTGGGTAGAATTACTAGTAGTTACTAATAACTAACAGCCTTAGCGAAAGCAAAAAAAAAAAAATTACTACTACATATTTTATTAAAATAGCACACACATATGTTTACTGAATACATGTTAATAGATTCTAGATAATTGCTATTAAACTATTGTTGAAAGTATTGTTGGCTTTTTTATAACAAATTTATATAAAATTGCTAAGTCACTGTCTCTTAAAAAAAGAATGCTCTGTATCTGAAATGCTGTTGATAGATGGTTAATAAGATTCATCACATAATTTTTTACTGTTATCATAGATCAAAAAGCACTAATGAATTATTATACCAAATATAGTAATTTTGTATTAAATTTTTGTAGCATCAAATATATATTGATATGCAGTATGAATATAGCTATATGCAATACATATAAAATAAATTTTTTAGTAACTTTGGCACTAGCTCTACTAATATTTTGTCTAATTTTTCTTTTTTTATTAGATAGTTTTTGTGTTAATAAGATGATTGCTAAAGCTATTTGTATAGGTATGCTTAGTTAAACAAAAAATTCTATCTCTAATATTGAGTGATAGGACTTCTGACTTTGTATATTGTGAGACTCAATAGGCTTATAATTATTATTAGATAATCTAGTACTTTGGTAAAGGTAATAATCTGATCTGCAAAAAATATATAACCTATTTATCCTTTATAAATATAGTTTTCTTATATTTATAAAAACACTGTTTTGAGAATATGATCATTATTCTTCTTATAAGGCATATGCAAAAAAAAAAAAATCCAACAGACTTCTTGGGTTTTAAATTATCAGGTTACATTATATAAATAATATAAATATATCTACCTTGCTTTTTTGACATTATACTTCTTTTTGATAGTTACACAAAAAATTTTCATCTATAATTCTAGATAATAAGGCCTCTGATTTTATATATTTATTTTCTATTATATGATTATAAAACACTGTTTAGAAGGCACAATTGTCAAACTATTATTGTTTATATAGCAAAGAGAAGAAGACCCAATAAGCTTTTTGCAGTTTAGTTTACTAAGTTACAAGATGAGAAATAGTTTGAAAGTATTTATCTCAAAATTTATATAAGTACATAATCTTTGTTATAATTTTTTAAAAGTAAGTTAATTGTTTTTTATTATATTTAGTTTTTTTGTAGTTTAGTCTTCTTAGAAATATTTTTTGCCTTTTGAGACAGGCCTAAGATCTGAGCTTTTTCTTTTTATTCAGAGTTACATTTTTTTCTTGAGTATGATTGTTATTCTTGATATAAGGCATGTATAAGAAGAAAGATAATATAGACTTTATAGATTTTAAACCCCCAAACCATATGATATAAAGCAATTTAAATATATTTACTAAGAAAATTTTATTACTATTTATGATAAAAAAAATTTGTATATATTTTTTGAATATATATTCTTTAGCACAAGGCTTAGAATAAAATCTATTTATTTACTAAAACTCAAACTTCATCTTGTATAAACTTGCATTCATTAGATGATTATTGTCTTGATTAGATTGTGAAAAAAAGTAAATATACTATAGCTAAGGTAATTAATATTAATATTCAGTTGAAAGATATTAAGTTTATTTTCTTCCTTGTATTTTTTTATACAAAAGCCTAGTACCTATCAATATTAATAAAGCTTGATAAATTTGCACTATACTGTATATATGCAACAGGTTTTGGTGATAACAAAAAAGTTAATAAATATATCAAATAGATGTAAAGTTTTTGCTTTTTATAGACTTGATTGGCACAATATCTTGATAAGCTTTTTGAATAACCTATGCATTTTCATCTTGGGTTTTAGATTTAAAACATTCAGTGTTTTAATAATTTTGCATCAAATCCTCAAATTTAATCTTATAATCATATCTATGTTATCTTTCCTAATATACCTTTTATTGGAAAATTTTTTTTACAAAAATTAATCATTATATAGCATTTAATTAATATATATCATTTGCAAATTAATAATATATATTGATAAATAGGTTTATAATTAATATATATATATATATTTTTTTTTTGCTCTTAAGCAGTCACGCTAGTACTTTATTAAGATTCTTGCAACTATATACAATAACTACATAGAATTTTCCTAATAACTAAGTTCAGCA